CGGGGCGGGGCGGGGCGGGGCGGGGCGGGGCGGGGCGAGGCACGCCCGGGAGCGCCTGCGGGGGCAGTCAGTCCCGAGGCACTCGCTGTCGTCCTCCCAGTATGGAAGGATGCGGCTGCCCCCGTTCCGCCCTACGACGGTGCCTGCGGTGCGTTAGCTGCGTTATCGGCGACCTCGGACGATGGGTATGGCACTTCGTCCGCGGCAGGGGTGAGCTGAGCTGAGCGCCCCGGCCCGCCCGCCCTCTCTCCCTCTCCCCGTCACTACCGCGACCTCGCTGACGCCCTCGTTTCTGCGTCCCACAGGTGGCGGCATCTCCGTGACGGACGCGAGCGGCAAGCCGTACGCGCGCGGTCACACCAACGGCAGCATGTCGTCGGTCATCACGAGCAACACGACGCTGTCGTCCAACGGCGGCGGCTCCTCGGTGGCCTCCATCCCCTCGGTGACGCGGAGCCCCCTGAGGTCCTCGCTGAAGAAGCCGCGGCCGCGGCCCGCGGAGGGCGACGGCATGGGCATCCAGAACCCTGGCTTCAGCGGCACCAGCCCCACCCTCAACCGCAACGGCAGCGTCAAGAAGGTCCGCATCCAGACCCACAGCACCGCGGTGTAGGGAAGCCCGCGACCGCTCGGCGGCGAAAATTGTGTAGTTGAACAGACCACATCGGGGATTTTTAGGATGCTGCCAAAAGACAGTCTGAGTTTTGGGGCAAAACAAGTGGAGCACCAGTTGTAATAAGTGTTGTTGGTATTTTGTGCAGTATTCTTTGTTAGGGAAGTTGTGTTGTTAGACTGCCTCCGAGTGTGAACCAGGAATAGGATTTCTCATTCAATTACCGTAGTAACAATCAACAGCACTTGTCTGGCTTTCCGATTGCAAAATGGTTGAGTGACCACAGGCGTTGGTGGCTGTGAATAAATAAGCATGAGGTTCATCTGATTAAGTGAGAGAATTTCTACCTGCTTTCACCAGAATAGAATTTTACAGTAGAATTGGAGTGTTCTTATTTTTATTTTTTTCCATATTTGTTGATCTGTGAACGAACCCATTGGTTTGTGTTTAAACAATTTTTGCATTTATAACATTCGCCCTCCCCCTATTTTCCCCTCCCCCCCTTTTTTTGTCGTTGTTGTGCTTCTTATGATTCATTAGTTTGGTATTCTAGGTATTAGTCTTCTTAGATTGATGCTGTTGGTAGATCGATATTAGAATTTTAAATTGACAGTAACCATAATCATTTTAAATACTCAATCAGACAGTTCTCTAAAATGTCCCAAAACTTGTTCATAAATTTTTGTTCTGAGTATTAAAAATCAAAACACTCAGTCAAACATCTGTTGACAATAATTATTCAAAGATTGATAAGAAGCATTTGGTAACATTTCTAGGTAGGGGAAGGCATGGCCATTGCAGTAAAACTTTTATCTCACCCTATTTCCAATGTATTATTTACAATTTTTCATGTATATTTTTATAAGATTTTGTTTAGGAAATTGTGAGATATTAATGTTGATGTACAGTATTGTAAACTATAGTTAAAGTTGTTACTGCAAAATAATATTTGAACTTTTCTGAAAATATTAATGCAGACAGTAATTCATAGAATTAACTCCACAGTGAATATTCCATAACTAGATTGTTCGCCAAAGAAAGTAAGGAAGTGTCAGACTATAGTTAGACACCTTTTCGGTTATGATGCTGCCCTGGCAAAAAAATTAAGAGACAAAGTGGCAATTAAGGGGCAAGTAAGTGGCACCAAAGTGTCAAAGAGCCCAGGTGGCATTTAAGTGTCATACAAATGGCAATGAAGGTTCTATTTTAGAAGTGGCACTGAGGATACTTTAGAGTGGTGCCCAAGGAGGAATGAAGCGGTGAATATTAAGCGGCACTAGAGTGGCACAGAAGGGCCCACCAAGGGGTGAAGAAGTGCACATTTAAAGCTGTATTTTAAGTGGCATTAAAGTGACACTTGAGTAGAAAGTTAGCTCTCACTGATGAATCACCATGCTAACAGAGCCATAGTCTGGATGCTATGCCAAGACAATTGCCTGTTTCGGAGGCAATGAGTGTACACACTTGTCATTTTTGGAAAGTAAGGTTTACGAGCCCCTGCTGGGGACTTGTGGAACTTACACAACCGCAGTCTCAACATTGTGTACAATTTCAACAGCTGTGCCACTTTAGATCCTGAATGCCACTTCCTTGCCACCTGCTTACCACTTGCTTACCACTTCAATGTACTCTAAAGCGACACAATCCACTTAACTGCCACTTTACTAAGTGGCAGCTAAGGGGCAGAGCTGCCACTTATTTGCCCCTTAACTGCCACTCTGCTCCTTAATTTTTTTTCCAGGGTGAATGTGTGCATATGAAGTCAATTTGAGTGAGACCACACTATGAGATAGTAATGCCATATATTTTTCTTGAGACGAAGTGTAGCCTGCAACACAGTTAGTGTGGTGTTTAGAAACTGAGCTAATGTAGTAAACTGTTTAAAGACAGACGATAAGGCTGTTGGGTCAGCAAATCTTACCGCCCGCACATCTTTGGAAATATTTTGTACCCAATAGGCATAGGGATTTGCTTCACATATAATGCGTTATGTTAATTAATTGTGTACGTGAGACAGGTAGCTGCCGTTTCTACAGTAGTTTTTGCACTAAACGTTGGTCGTGGCGAAGTAATCTGGATGTACACTCATCAAACTGTGATCTGGCCTTGACTTTCAATAGATGATCTGTTACCTCTTTCATATCTGATGACCTTACTTTTCTGCGGTACTATGGTTAATACCGCAAGATTTTAATCCTCTGCGTTTTAATGGAACAATATTAGAAATATTGTACTTGTGACCTCTTCCTTTATGGTGAGACAAACTTCAGCTTTCCTGGCTGGAAGAAAAAAAAGGTTTTTGTATATTGTTTTTGTACATGCCATGTTTTGTTATCTTGTTTTCATATTTTATGATTTTTTTTGGAAAAGTATGGCAAAAGGAATAACATGTCTGGGTCCTCACTTGTTAGTAGCTCTGTTATTTATTTCCTTGTCCCTTCTTGCATACTTTCTACTTTGTACTTGAGAGTGCAAAAAGTACCTGCATTTTGATCTGTTAAATAAAGCTATAATATTTATGTTTTTACTTTGGATTTATTTTCCTTTGACATATCTAAAATAATTGAACAAAACACATTACTTCCTAAATATTCACGGTTCTCAGTTTTTTTTACAATTCCATGAATTTAACTCAAGTTATTGTGGGGGATGCATGAGGTTCTAAACTCATAATATAAAAACACAACTTAATGGTAACCAAATACAGTAACAAGAGGTAATAAATTAAAGTAAGACGAGTTGTCAGTTCTGTTAAATTTACGACACTCGCTGAAAATCCAGTTTAAGAAGAACCTTGTGAAATTGATAAATTGATATGAAGTAGGAGAATGAATTTGTCTTTGTTCTCGATAGTGCCACAGGAATTCAAATACTAATGAAAAATGATTTGGGAAAAAGATATCACAATTTAAAAAGGGCTTACAAATGAGAAATAAGTGTCAGTATAAAGTTGATTTTGGAATCCATGAAAAGAAAGTCATGTGGAACTATATTACTTGAAGGTCTCAAATCAGTATATTTTTCAAACAAGGGATCATAGAAATTAAATCAAATTGGAAGCAGTCAATACATGAAACATTTAAATTGTTTGAGCCTCATTACAACCATTGAACACCTTCAATGTAAACTGAATGGGAGATACCGGAAGATACTTTTAAAACAAACTATTTGGTCTTGCAAAACAATCCTGATTCTGACCTCTACTTATAGCACAGATCCACACGTAAAATTACAATATGTTTCTGATCTAGGTATTTAATATATAAGCTGATTGAAAAGGCACCATAAGAAGACTAGTATGCAAACTGCAAATTTAGACTCACTCTCTCAATGACATTACGGTAATTGGAGCCAAAATGAATGAACACTAAAATGAAGCCAGGGGGCTATAACCCACAACAGTTCTCATTTCACTGATAACATAATCTAAGCTTGTTGGAATGAAGCAAGAAGGAACACATGAAAGAAAAATTCATTGAAGTGCAGTATGCCATTTTCTTTCAATGCATTGTAACACTAAGCAACATATAAATAATATATATCTGATCAAAAAGTCTTGGACAATTGGTTAAGCACACTCTTGACAAAAGTTAGCTAATCAACAGAGCTATCTAGCTACAACAGTCATTTGGAAAGACCACAGTTTTAAAATTCTGCTAGGACAAGGTAGAAAACACATTGGATTTTGAAACATAATTTACAAGTTATAATGCATTTTTTCTGATTGCTTGGTACAACATGAGTGACCATTTCACTCCTTTTATAGGTACATCCAGTCTTGAGGAACATAGTGCAAGAGGCTTAGATCATTTCAATTATTTACGGTTTTGAAGGGCGTTGGATAGCCAATCCATAGCTGAATCCAAACCTTCTCCTTTGGTGGCAGATGTCTTAAATATCTGGAAAGTGCGATTTTTAAGAGCTTCTAGACCAAGGGCTTGGTGAACTTCTGCAACACTTAGACAACCATCCATATCCTGTTTGTTTGCAAGAACTACCAGTATGGCTCCTTGAAGCTCTTCTTCCTATGAGAGAAGAGGAAGAAATATGTAGGCAACTTTTTTCCATCATGTCTTTTTTGAGAATAATTCATTTTTAAGAGTGCTTACCCTGAGCATAGCAAGCAATTCATCTTTAGAGATCCCTATTCGGTCTCTGTCAGCTGAGTCCACAACATATATGATGGCATCTGTGTTAGAATAATAACAGCGCCAATATGGTCTGTAAACATATACAGTAATCTTATTAGTTTCAAAAAATTAAGAATAACTAACAGAAAAATTGAGTTAGTGTTTTACCTAATACTTGTTTGACCACCTAAATCCCACACCTGAAATTTCAGGTTTTTGTATGTAACTTGTTCGACATTAAATCCAATTGTTGGAATTGTTGTAACTACTTCACCAACTTGTAATCTGTTGGAAAAACAAAATACACAAATAGTCTTGTACCAGTTCAATGGAATTTTGTCAAAGAAACAGAATACTCACTTGTACAATATTGTTGTTTTCCCAGCTCCATCCAAACCTAAAATGAGAATTCTCATTTCCCGACTTCCGAGCAAATTTCTGAAATAACTGACAAGTCCACCTACAACGTGAAAAAATATATGAGGAAGCACATTCAATGATAGCCTTTATTGTATATGACATGAATAAGATTCTAAAAATGTTTTGGATCATTACAAAATTACAGTACATAAAATAATGTTTTTTAAAAGAAAGACTTCAACTAGCAGTTCAAGAAGTAAACAAATAATTTTGATGAAGTCCTATTTCATTTAGAGAAAATGCTGGGGTGTTTAAGAAATGTACTTTCCAAACACAGAGCAGTAGCAGAAAGCAGTAGGTAAGAGAAAGGTTAAAGGGATCTGTTGTGTGATGGGATAAAACATTTGTAAAATACACCTCAATGAATGTTGTGTTTCTCAGAAGTAACCAAAGCGGTTAGAAAATATTGTAAGCAAACTAATGAAATAATACAATAATTACGGGAATTTTTACGGGGACATTGGTATATTGCAAAACATCATCGTTGTTGACAGACGCAGCTATGAAGTCCGTGTAAAGCGAACTACTCACCCATTGTAACTTTAGCTGGCTCTGGTGGGTGTTAATTACTGTCCTATTTCAACAGCTAAACTTCAAACCGGTATTTTCGGCCTGCCGGTAGCCTAAATACACACATAACATAAATTTGACGTGTACCTTCTGTTCCCCCTTTTCTGTCTCTCTCACTCTTAAAGCGCCCTGTCGAAAGTGACAACTCGACTTTGGCTTTCTTCAGTTCCGCTACGCCATCTGCAGTCACAGTTGAAAACTACGTTTATAAACATCATAAAAGTCACTCGCCCGCCCCTATTTTGCTTTTGGCTCCTGCAATCTGAATGCTACTTTGTAGTTTTTGTATCCTGGACGTATTTGTATCGAGGCACTTAGAGTATTCTCGGGGAGTATAAACCGGCGGATGTAAGTTGACTCTTCTTACTACTTTTGGTTCTGTTGTATGTGATAAGCAAGGTTAGGAATCTTTAGGTTGTCAGGCAATCCAAATCTCAATAGAGATAGCCTTTTGCGTAATGTCATGTTTGTTGTGCCGGCTCTGAAAGTCATCTCGGGAGTATCGCACCGCATGTCAATCAACTCTGAAGAACTCGTAGACTCATTCTTTTGATCAGTAGCATTCCCACTTCCGCTGGGAGCACTTGAAATTACTTTGTGGTAATATTTGATGTGTAAGAAAGCAGTTTCTTAGGATTCAGTTTTATGGTACACTCTGTCCAGACTTAAAAAATTATTGTCCGTAATTTAATTTTCTATGTCCATTTTTGATTTTATTACTATTTGTGTTTCAGGTTTCAATACAGTGGCATCTAACACCATCAAACCAATAGGACCAGCTCAGTCTTTGATTGGTAAGTGCTCTACCTTCTATATTGTTTCTATAGAGGCTAAGGTTTCTTCATCACTCTTTCGTTCAAAGTGTCACCCTGCTTCCGATTCTTGTTCTGTGGCTCTTAGTTTGATGATCCCAAAGATTACTGTGCTCTTACTGGCATAATTGTGGGCAATTTTAAACTGAAACTTGGAATATTCATTTAGGCTCAAAAACTTATACAAATTAATTAAATTTTAGTCTGAAATTATACTAATGTATGCTTGCAAAGTTAATGGAAATATTTTGGAGACTTTGTGAAGTAAAGTTACTTTAAACTGTAGCTCGAAGCTGTTTTGGTCAACCAAGTAGCTCACTATCCCTGACTTATTGTGATTGTTTGCAGACCCTCAGTAGAATTTCATCATTTGAATGGAAGTCATACATGCATCCCCTGAAACAATAATTGGGGTTGGGGTAGATTTGGCTGTTATTTTCTCAATCACAGAGTATGTTTCTCCAAATGACTAGCTTTAGCTAATGTAGTTTCCCCCTTGAGACTTTCCAGCAAATCACGCCAGCTGTTAGAAAATAGAGTCCAATATTATTGATTTTTTTTGGCCGATGAGCCGAGTATTCGTTTATTTCACAGACTCCTCACTTTGCCGGGGGCCCTAGCCGCTCTGCATTGGTTTCACCCAGCCGTAACGGGATCCGTTCAGACGTATCGTACACGTGCGCAGACTCGTTTGGGCGTTCCCTCCGCTCCCTGCTGGATAGCCCTGGCCATGTGCGTGCGAGAGTGACGAAGCGAATTTGAGAGAGCCCTCACGCGCATGTGTGTGTGTGAGAGAGAGAGAGAAAGAGAGTGAGAGCATAGAGATTGACGGGCGCTCACTTTTCCTTTGCACAGTCTCCGCTTCGCCACTGTCGGTAGTACTTTATGACGACAGGCCTGCTATGGCCGGGCGCAGAATCTTCCAGACGTCCGGCCAGTCGTTGCGGGCCCGTCTGCCTGCATGGCGCATGGCCGGGAGCGCCTTGCGGGGAGACGAGCTCTATTTGAATGGCCGCCGCTTGGCGCGGCTTGGCGCCGCACGCGCAGCGTTTGTTATGCATGGCTGAATGTGAATGTTAATGGCGGGAAGCCCTCGGGCTGGAATAGTCAAGTCGTTTGAATGACGTCAATAATTAATGCCATCTTGCGGGGCGCGTTTTGCCTGCCGTCGCGGGTTGCCGCGCTGCCCTCCTTCCAGCCGACCTGCCGTTTTGCCAGTGTCATTGAGCGAGTTGTTTTTCGTTTGTAGTATTTTTGACATTGTCTCGTATTGCATTGCATTCCCTCTGGAAACGTCGTTGGGGCACGACATGGCCAAAAGTCTGTCATTTATGCGGATCCCGCTCTCAGAAAACAGTCCTCTTCATCATGAAATTTTCGGTTACCCTCCCACGTCTTGTCAGTACTGTTTACTCGTCTTATTAGTTATTTTCAAAGGCAACGTTAATGGTAGCGCCTGCCACTCGCTGGGTGGGCCAGCCCGCCAAGCAGCTGTGTGAGGTTGGCGGCCCGCCCGTGCCCGCCCGTGCCCGCCCCGATAGTCCAAGTGCGGACAAGAGAGCCGTTGTCGACCGACTTTACCGGGGAAATGGTGAAGAAAATCGCATAACTATGAGCACGATTTTCTGAGGGTTGTTGTCCTGTAGATTTCCGAGTCCGCACCGCACGGGGAGGTCATTGTGTGGCGGGTCATAGGCCGTTTATGCTTGCATCTTTCTCTCGC